CAGTTCATATCCTGTCGGAGCCTCGGAGCTGCTTGGCTGAGGCTGCTATGAGGACCATCTGCAGGTGTCGGCTCGCCTGACTGTCTCCACGGTGTGCCTGCCCGAGCTCATCGCCGGCCCGGCTCGTCATGGCAACGTCTTCCGCGGGCCTTCCCAGATGAGCACGGTGTCTGACAAGGTGCGGCCGGACTATGTGTACTTCTCCTGGACTGCAGACGTTCCGTACGGCAGGCCTGATGTCGCGCCTGGCAGCGAGGGCCGAGTCTACATCAGCAAGCTTAAGGTGCCCTGGAAAGGTGTACCTGTCTTGGAGGAGAGCTTTGCCTTTCAAGGCTTCGTCCGTGCCGGCGGCATCGACATGACAGAGGACGGAATCCTGGGCACAATCTGCGCCAAGTACTGGCAACCTTGGGTGGAGAACAAGAACAGCCACTTAGACAAAGCGGCTATGGTGGTGGCTGTGTGCGAAGTGAACAGCAGCACCATGGAACAGCACAGGTTGCCGTGGCAGATTGGCAAGCAATACCAGGAGACGGTCACTGCCCCAAACACGGGGATATGGGGCAGCTACCCCATGTCTGCATGGTGGGCCCAGCGTTCCGCAGGCTACGGCTATCTTCTGTATGCCCCGGAACAGCGGATGTGGACGGCCTGGTATGGGGCCACTGTAGATCACCACACCGGCTATGCCATGCACACCTACCACCGCGATGCACCAGGGATCAGCGACGAGGAGTACGCAGCCTACAAGTACCCAGTGCCTCGGGACATGGTGGAGCCCCGCCAGGAAGCAGATGGTCCTTGGCGGGACCACCACCGCACCGGCACAGGCGATCACCAGAAGTCGGCGGCCTGGGCATACCACCCGCTTCTGAAGGACATTGGCCTTTACAAGCACGAGTATGGCCCTGCGAGAATGCAGCAGTATGGCCTGGCGCAGGAGCCCATCGGGATGCCGCCCGCGGGTAACTTCCGGTATGTGGGGCACCGCGGCGGCATGGATTTGAAGTTCCCACAAGATGAAGGCTATGATTATGGCTACAGCGACGATGAGTCCGACAAAGCCTTGCAAGCCAATGCCATTAGGCCATGTGGGGAGGATTGGATCTTGGCGTTTCCTTCGGACAAGGGCAATGTTTGCGCACAGATCACACGGCTCGGAGAGATCAACATCTGGAAGGTCATCGATGAGGCAGTGGCGAAAATGCCCTGTGGAGCCAGTGGTGGCAACTGTGGCGATGGGGCACCGGGACGCATGCTGCGCCTCGCACCCCTGGGGACTTCCGAGCAAAACCCGACATGCGGCCCGGAAGCCCGATTTCTTTTCGGCTACGAAAAGCCGGATCGCACGCGCTGGCTCGTGGAACTCGATGGTGACTGCAACGAGGCGCGGGGTGTAAGAGTGCAGGGTGGCGCAGAGCAGCATTTCTTAAATATGCTCTGTAAGCTGACCTTGGCAGGTCACGGAAAGGCTGGACGTCACCAAGCACACGCACTGGCCGCTCTACCAGGACTGGACTACCACTACAGACGGTGCCGTCGTTTGGGTGACAAGCTGGCACCCTGATGTCACTGGCAGCCACGGCCCTCCTGGCAGCCCCAATGGAGTTTGGCCCTACAGTCCAAAGCCGCGTTTGTCCGAAGAGGCGCCCGAAGCTGGTGAGTATCTCTATGGCCTGACTCCTCAGGCCATCAACAAGGCCAAGATTACCGTCTACTATCCCAACGGCGGGCTGGGTTCCATGACCACCAGCGGCGCAACTTCTGCCAGCACCTCCGCTGCTGCCACCACTGCCACCACCACCACCACCGCCGCCGCCACCACCACCACCACAACCACCACCACCACCAACAACAACAACAACAGCAGCAGCAACAACAACAGCAATAGCAACCGAAACAGCAACAGCAAAACCAATAAC